CTGTGTTCCCCCATTTCTCTCTGCCCCCACCCTTGCCCTCTGCCCATCTCTCTCCATTCCTCCCATCTCATCTCTCCCCTCTCGTTTTATGATATCTCTCTCCACCTCTCCCTATCTCTCCTTTTGCCCACAGACGCGGGCCCCTCACCTTCACCACCCGCACAGTGCGCCAGGTGTTCCGACTGGAGGAGGGTGTGGCATCAGATGAGGAGGCTGAGGAGGCAGAGCCAGGTTCTGGACCGCAGCCCCCGGAGTCTGATGGGCCCCAGGAAGTGCAGCCCCAGTGACCCCTCCCTGTTCCGAGCCATCAGCCCCTCCCTCCCTGGCCCTGGAGGGTGCAGGTCCCATGAACCCACCCTGTGGCTTCTTGCACTTTGGAAATGGTGCCACCTGCTGGCACTACCCACTTATCAACCGCACCCCAGAGGGCCCCCTGAGACCTCCGTAAACACAGAACACTGGAGAGCCCAGGTGGGGAGCAGGAGGAAAGGACTGGGGCTCTCTCGCTGGAGTGGAAATTCGGGTGTAGTTTGCACGCTGTGGACCCATACAGCTCCCATACTTACTTCAGATGTTAATGGTCTTTATTAGGAAAGGAGCATGGCCCCCCTGCCCTCCTCAGCCAGGGTGGGCCATGGCCTCCCCCCATCCCCCCCCCACCCCGCCCCGTCTCCCAGGACTCCCAGCCTTTGATTCCTGCAGAGGAGCAGGATAAGGGGGCCTGTCTCATCCCACTCTTTCCGTGCTCTGCCCTCCCTTCTGTTGCTATTGTGTGATCACAGTCTGCTCTGGTTAGAGTCCCTGTGGGGGCTGGAGGGGTCTCCCTGACTTTGCAGCCTCCAGCTGTGGCAGAAATAAACTCCAGCCCCAACTGGACCCCGCCCGGGTGGTGTGTGTTCCTGCAGGGGGGGTCTCTGGTGGGTCCAGAGGGGCACTGACTTCTTCCACCTGCTGGCTCTGATCACAGCTGGCCAGTGGTGGGGGACCTCCTGGTACTGGACATTGCCCCACACCCCAGCCTCCCTTCAAAGCATTGCCTCCATTATACAGAGGAGGAGGCCGAGGCTCAGAGCTGCGCTGCCCCTCACTCTACACCAGGAGAGGCAGGAGGGGTGCTTGCTGTACTCTGGTCTCTGGCTGACCTTCCAGTCTTTGCAAAACAATGACATTGATGACTGTTGAGTCCGTGACCATGATCCTGACCGGCTATTTAGCGGTGCTGAACACACACCAGACATTTGTCTCAGTTCTCAGCACAACCTCTAGAGGCGAGGATCGCCTTGCTTTCCAGCACCTAGGACAGTGCCTGGCTCCTAGTTGGCTTTCATAATATAGTTGCTGAATGACTAGATCACGCCGTCCTGGCCTTTTATTGTTTTAAAACATATTTTTACCGATCTCAGAGAGGAAGGAAAAGATAGAAACATCAATGACGAGAGACTCATTGATCGGCTGCCTCCTGCATGCCCCCTACTGGGGATCAAGCCCACAACCCAGGCATGTGCCACCGGAATGGAACCTGGGACCCTTCAGTCCCCAGGCCACCGCTCTATCCACTGAGCCAAAGTGGCCACGGCCCTTCTTGTCCTTTTAGAGTGGCAAAAGCCCAGAGAGGTCGAGACTTGCCCAAGGACACACAGCTACGAAGTCGAACCCACACAGACTGTCTTCATAGTCAGCAATTCGGAGCATGCTGCCCTTCGCCCTGAGCACACACTGGGGACCCAGGTCACTCCTCTCCTGGGGACTAGTCGCCCTCACTCAGGAGCTCCCATCATCCAGGGGCCCTCAGACTTCCCAGTTAAGGGTGTAGGCAGGCACTCACCCCCAAACCACAAAGTGAGAGCTTTGTGTTCAAGGGGATTTCTGGGCCCCCAGAATGCACACCCATGCATGCTGCTTTCCAGTGGTTCTCAGCCTTCTGGCTCTTTAAATACAGTTCCTCATGCTGTGACCCCCAACCATAACATTATTTTCATTGCTACTTCATAACTGTAATGTTGCTACTGTTATGAATCGTCATGTAAATATCTGATAGGCAGGATGGTCTTAGGCGACGCCTGTGAAAGGGTCATTGGACCCCCCAGAGGGGTCGGGACCCACAGGTTGAGAACCGCTGCATCCGACCCCATGTCTTGAAGACCCAATCCCTCTGTGGACCCCCAAAAGCTCCCCAACCCTCCCCGGGACACACACACAGGACGCAGCTTTTAAATGAAAAGGAAACTTTAATCTTGGTGGGGAATGAGAGGGCGGGCGGAAGGGGGCATGACACTTTTTCTTTTGGGGGGTGACACATGCGGCAGCTTCTGCATCGGGCGGTTCATGCACCCAGGGTGGGCGTGGGGGAGGCTTGGGGGAGGGGCCTGCCGACCCCTCCCTCCCTGCCCTGGGGGTGGGCTGAGAAGACCCGCCATTAGCACCAGAGTTGGACGATTTGCAGACCTCCCCTCCCCACACTGACTCCGGACACCCGCCCCCATCCCTGAGAGCGCCCCCTGGCCACCCCCCCTCCACCTGGACAGGCCAGGCTCGCCCCGCCCACGTTGGAGTGAGAGAAACTTATTGCTGTGTGTGTTGGGGAGGGGAGCCGCTGAGCTCGGGGGGACCCCCGCCATCCGATCCTCTCCCCCCGCCCCGCCCCCCGCCCCGTGCCCGTGCGTCCCGAGCGCAGGAGGGCGCCTCATGCGAGTGGGGAGCGTCATGCAGCGCATGCGTGCAGTTGCGGGCACCCTGGCGGCCGGGCGGAGGTGGGGGGGAGGGGGAGGAGGGAGCGGGACATGGAAGTCGTCCCTTTAGCTCGCCCTCCCTCCCCGAGTCCCACGCTGTTTATTGACTTGGGGGATGAGAATCACGTGTTTGTAGAGGCTTGTCATGATCGTAGTTATTTTTAAAAGCTGAACTAAAAAGCTGGGTACGTGTGGCAGGTTGGCGAGCAGGGGGGAGACGGAGGGAAGAGGTCTGTACCCTTCGGAAAAGACCCTCGCCCCCTCCCCCCGCACCGTTCGTCTTCCGTGAGGGTCTGGGGAATGGGAGGGGGGGGACTTTTTTTTTTTAAAGAAGTTAAACCCTTTGGCAATATAATCAGTCCCCACCCCCGTACCCTGGTGTCTGGGGCCCCTAGCCCTTTGCCCCGCCCCGCTCCCCGCAGAACCTGCCCCACCCCTCACCCCAGATTCGCCAGGGTTTAGGGTCCGAGGGAAGGATGGGGGGGACTCAAAGTGCCCCTTGCATAGGAATCGTTGCATCAAGAATCGTGCTCAGTGACACCCCCCCAACCCTCGGGTGGGGTTCCTGAGGCTGTGGGAGCACAGGGAGGAAGGTTGCTAATTCTGCGGGCCCCCAGCTCCGAAAGGGGGTTTCTCTAAGGATTCTGGGACCGGTGTGGCCTCCAGGCGTGGGGGAGGTAGCGCATCCTTGAGCCAGGATGGGGTGTGAGGAGTGATTTTTCCACCCGCGGGCGGGGCGGGGATCGCGGGGATCGGCGGGCTGGGGTCCCCGCCCAGGTGGGTAGGCTGTTTCCTAAGCTTCGATGTCCCAGTGTCCGTCCGTCCGGCACAGCCTCTGGATGGAGACACTCAACCTAAACAAACGGCGTCCGGGCCGGCCGCGCAGCACAACCTGGACTTACTGGCCTGTGAGCCAAGCGCCCCAAAGGGCAGACCCTCTCGGGGAAGACACAGCTCCCGGGTGTCTGTCCTCGCACTGCCTGGACCTCAGCACGTCAAGGGCACGAACACGACCCTCTGGGAAGCACTGGTGTCCGTGAAGGGGGTACCATTCAAGGGAAGACATGTTGGGGGGCGGGGTTGGGCCTAAGAAACGGGGTGCCCTGCAAAGATCAGGTTCCCTGGAATTGCAGACAGGCCGGGCCCGTCTTGGAAATCCTAGCGGCAGGGGAACCTGAGGTGGATGTCTGGTGGCAGAGATCTGGGGGTGTCTGGTGGAGTGAGGCCTGAGGATTTGGGGTGTCGGAGGAGGTTCTGGAGCATCCCAAAGGCTGAGAGTGAGCTGCAGGCTGGGGCGCCCCTTGGAGGCCTGGGGCGCCGGGATGCACTCCAGGGAGTGGCTGGCGGCGGGGCTTGGTTGGGGCAGCATCTGTGTGCAGGGGTTAAGTTCCAGGGGTGCGTGGGCGTTTGGAGGATGCGGGGTGCCAGGAATTCTGGGTGCAGGGCTCATGTCCCGGGGACCCGGAGGGGCGCCGGGGAATTTCGTGTGCTAGGGCCAGACATCCCAGGAGTCTGGGGCGGGAGGTCTGAGTCCATGCAGCAAGATCAGAGGCGAGCAGATCCCGTGGGGGTGGGGGTGGGGGTGGGGATGACAGGGTGCAATTCACCAGAGGGATCCTCCTAAAGGCAGAGGGAGCAGCTGGCCGCAGCGCCCCGCTTCTACTATCTGAGCTCAGCTGGGGTTTGGGGCTGGGTGACTGTTCCTCCTTCCCCCATATTGTCGCTAATTTTTTTTTTTTAAATCAATGCATGATGATGGGCTGCCCTCCAGCGGGGAAGGGTAAGAGGCTAGGAGACCCTCCTGCAGCCCCACCCGACCCCCTCGAGGTCCGCCCCCTCCCAGAATGCCCCTGCCCTCAACCGCGTGGCATGCAGCCCCTGGCGCTTATTGCTGAGGTGGAGTCGGGGGAGGGGTCCAGGTTGGAGCATGCACAGTAGGGGGAGGTGCCCCCAATGTGATTGGCATAATTTGGACGTATTTACACGAGTGGATGGGAGAGGGTGTCCTATGGCTCATGGAGACCTGAGAAGGCTTTATTTGGGTGGGGGGAGAGTTGGAGGGCGTGGGCTTTGGCCCCTCCCCCTCCATCCTGGGGCCCAGGTCGGGGTGAGGGGCCCGGGGGTGTCTGCTGGCGTGGTCGTCTCCGTTGCATATTATAATGACTTTTGATTTTTTTAAAAAACCCTTTCCCCCACCCCCAGCTCCTTTGACCTTCTTCCCTGTCACCCCCGAGTCCCCCCACAGGGGGGAGGGGAGCGCTAGAGGATGGAGGGCAAGGTTGGGGGAGCGCGGCGGGCGGCCCTGGGAGAGCCGGGGGGAGTGGCTAGGGGCGCGAGGCGCAGGGACACCCCGCTCAGGCCCGCGATGCTGCTCAGGCTGCGGGATTTCTCGTAACCTGGGGGGAGGGGCGGAAACACGGGGAGGAAGCAGGGAGTAAGGGTGCAGGGGGAGGGTCCCACAGACAGAGAGACCCCAAGACAGAGGGAGGGAGGCAGGAGAGAATCAGATAGAGAGGATACCAGATGGAGAGAGAGACAGCGGCAGGGAAAGCAAGAGACAGAGAAGGCGAGAGCAGAGACATGGGAGAGAGAGAGGCCGGCAGGCACCAGGACACAGGAGACAGGGCGAGGCAGAGACGGACAGAGGCGGGCCAAGGAGATGGAGAGAGAGAGAAGTGAACAAATCGCACAGTCAGTCGCATCGAGGAGAAAGGTTCAGACATGGGGAGGGGGGAGAGACTCAGGGTTAGGAGGCAGGTGGCGCCCGCCGAGCCTCCCCCACCCATCCCTTCCCCACGCAGCCCGCCCCCCCAAAACCCGCCCCCCGTAGGCCCCCTCATCTGAGGCATAAAGGGGGGGCAGCAAGGCGGATGGTGGCAGCAGGGGCATGGGCGGGAGCTCGGTGGAAGCCACAGGGGAGCAGCCGGGGAGGGAGCGGGCAGGGCTGCAGGGGGAGCTGACCTACTGCAGAGAGTGAGGGGCTGAGTGGGGGGACCTGGCCGCAGCGCCCCTGGGGCCCCGCAGCTGCAGAGCAGTCGCTGCAGAGCAGCCGGAGGGGCAGAGGCTGGCTCACCTGGAGGCGTGGCAGGGACGGTAGGGGCTCAGGGAGTTTCAATGGGAACCTTCTGCCTGGAAGGTCCTAACTGTCCCGACAGCCGGGACCTGAGATGGGTGCTAAGGTCAGGGAGCGGGTGGGGGGTCCTCGGAGCTGGGGGGCGCCTGCCAGCGCCCGGGGCTTTTCCAGGCAGAGCGCCGTGTCTAGACCACAGGAGACAGAGCCTGAGGGGTCGGGAGCCCACTGCCTCAGGGACACCCCTTCCCAGCCATTGCCCATTGCTAACCTGGGGGGAAGGGGCAGGGGGGGCCGAGGGTCTCTCGAGGCCTCAGGCGGTGACAAGAGCTGGGGACAGAAATACACAGAGTCATGGCGGGGGAGGGCGGTCGCGGGAACCCCCCCAACATGGTCTCACTGTTGGGGGTTGGAGAAAAGCCGGATCTCTTCCTCCTCTCTAGTGTTTTCCGGGGGGAGGGGAGCAGTGAAATGGGGCGGCCAGAGACATCAAATATGGGAGGAGCTTCCGGGGTGGCGGGGGGGGGGGGGGGGGGGGGGAAGAAGGCTGGGGAGGAAGGGGAGCACGTGTCCAGGGTTATACTCCGGTGGCTGGGGAGGGAAGATGAGGAAGGGGGCGATCCTGGGGCAGGTGGGGGACAGGCCAGGAGGAAGGGTCTCCGGGGGAGGGGAGACACAGTGGAGGGCGGGCCATGGGGGGGGAGGGTGAGGAAGGGGGGTCCAGGGTCCAGTCAGCCCCATCAGCTCCAGCCATTATTTGAGTTCAATGAATGGATTTCGGCATCAGAGGCAAGAGAAGCAGAGACCTCCCACCCCCAGCCCACCCCAGCCCTCCCTCACCCACATTCCCACCCCCACCCCTACCCCCCCCCCCTCAGTTCCAAGGGGCCCATCCAGACCTGAAGGAGGGGGACAAAGAGTGGGAAGGGGACTGGGTGCAAGCAGGGAGAGGGGTGAGATGGGAGCGGGAGGGGCTGGTGATGAGATGACAATGAAGATTGGCGGGGGGTGCAACAAGGAGGTGGAGGGACGGAACAAGAGCAGACAGCCCCCTCGCGGTTCTGTCTGACCCAGAAGCCTGGGCTGCCCTCCCTCTGCTGTGTGGCCTGGGTCGGTCATGGCCCTCCCTGAACTTCTGTGACACAAGGGGGCTTAGCCAAGGCCGTCCTGGAGGCTCCCCAAGTCCCACTCCAGCCTCTCCTTAGGCTGCCTGCGGGGATTTGGAATGTGTCTCTATTTCTAAGGAAGCGTCTGCAGGTGTTTGTGGAACGAGGAAGTGATGGGTCAAATTCCTTCAGGTGGCTCCTCCTCACTCTTAAGGCCAGGCCAGCCCCTCACCCTGGCCAACACCCTCCTGCTCCTTCTGCACAGGCGGTCCGCACCCCCTCCCTTCAGCTGCTCAGCTCCGGCCTCACTTCCCTTTCAGCACCAAGCTCGCCCACTGGGGACCTCAGGACCTTTGCACTCGCTGTTCCTTCTGCCTGGCCGGCCCTTTTCACCTTTAGGTTTCATGTCGCCTCCAAAAGCCCTTCCACAAACCAGAGACTTTTTTTTTTTTTTACTGGGTTTAATTTCTGCTTCCTCCAATCAGGGGGCATCAGGCTTTTCCTTAAAGGGCCAGGTAGTAAACATTTCGGCTCTGTGAGCCACACGGTCTCCGTCCTAACTATTCTAGTCCACTCTTGGAGCAGAACAGTGGCTATGTTCCAATAAAGTTTTATTTACAAAGCAGCTGGCTGACAGAGCTGGCCCCTGGGCTGGAGTGTGCCAACCTGGGCTCTAGAGTATCAACTCTGAGGGCAGGTTCTTGCCTTGTGCAGTACTAGGTTACGGTGTCCTAGGAGTCAGTTGTGACATGAATGAATGGGTGGGTGAGTGGAGCTAGGGGTTCTCGAGGGTGGTGTGAGGGTTACAGAAGGTATGTTAAATTCTGGGCGTGTGGTAAGTGCTGGGCTGTGTTTGCTGAATGATTCACTGACGAACAACTCTCTTCACTGTGTCCCCTGAGGTCCCAGGCCAGTCCCCAGCCCTTCTCCTCCCGTTCCCTCTCTCTGCCTCCCTTCCCTTCTATCCCCACAGCCCTGACCAGGTTCAGGACGTGTCCTGTCCCCGCGGACCCTTGTCCTGGTCTCCTCCCCGGCCCTGACCGCCAATCCCCAAGGGCCCAGAGCTGCGCTGCTCTCCTGGGTCCCTGAACAAGGTCCCGGCCCTCAGCCAGCCCTGCCTTCCTGCCTCATGGCCACCTCCTAGCCTGGTCGGTCCCTGGCTTTGCTGTGCTCTCCGGTCACAACAGTCTAACGCAGCGGTTCTCAACCTGTGGGTCGCGACCCCTTTGACGGTCAAATGACCCTTTCACAGGGTCGCCTAAAACCATCCTGCATATCAGATATTTACATGACGATTCATCACAGTAGCAACGTTACAGTTATGAAGTAGCAACGAAAATAATGGGTCACAGCATGAGGAACTGTATTTAAAGGGACAGAGGTTGAGAACCATGGGTCTAACGGGACCACGTCCCCATCGAGTACCAATTCCTTCAGAAAGCCTTTCCTGTGGCTCCCCCACCCGGGGCTTTGCCTGTCCCTCTGACTGTACGTGCGACCTGTGCCACCGCCACCTCCACATGTCACCTCAACAGCGACTTTCTCCGACTGCGTCTGCCTCTCCCACATGGGGCTCCCGGGGAGGGGAGGCCCCTTTGCTCACTGACGTCTGTGCGGGACCTGTGGGTGCTTTGTGAGCTGGCCAATTCACAAGTGACTGACTGGGTGGCTGAGTCTTTCTCATCCCATCTTGCACCCCAAGAATATCCTGGGCATGTACCCCGTTTTCTTGGTGGAGTTTTTAAAACCCAGAAGGAGAGGCAGGGAGAGAGGCGTTGATGGGAGTGAGGATGGGTCAGTCAGGAGGGCTGGGAGGTCAGGCACATGGTGGGAAGGTTGGGGTCAGTTCCAGGGGGTTAGTGAGGGGCGGGCAAGTCCGGGCGGGCGGGTGTGGGGTCAGCGTCAGGGCCGAAGGTTAATTAGATGGAGCTCTTCATGGTGAGGGGCGGGAGTCTTGGTCAGTGGGGGCTGCATGTTCTCAGGGGGGTTAGTCAAGAGGGGGGGTTCAGAGGACAGGAGCTACTTACCCCGGGGGGAGGGGGTTCGTCCACTAGGGGGATATCCAGGCCGCAGCGTTGGCGTTGAGGTCGGGCAAGAAGCTTGGGGGGCCTGGCTTACGCCAGTCTGGGGGGGGCAGTGGGGGAGCACCGGTGGCTGGGGGTGGGGGAAGAGGCCAGAGGGTCGGGGCGGGGGAAATGGAGATGCAATAAAGACAGGTGAAGGATCAGTGGTGAGGAAACTTGGGGAGCGGGGGCAGGGGGGGCGCTTCTGGGAAGGAGATTTGGGGCCATGGAATGGGGAAAGGGAAGTCCATCACCTCCCCCCTCTCCCCCTCTCCCCCCTCCCCTAGGGGAGGCGAGAGAGGGAGGGTCCCGGGGGCCAGTGGAGGGCACCTCACCTTTCCGGATGGAGCCATCAGGGGAAGGGGAGTAGTCCGTGAGCAGGAAGCAGGCTCGGTCCCGGCTGTAGCGGCCCCGGCTCCCAGGGGTGATGGGGCTCTTGTCTTCCGGGGACATGGCGGGCTGGTCGATGGCTGGGCAGTCCTCATGGGCGAGCGCAGCTGCTGCTGGGTCCCCGTTGGGGCGGGGATCTGTGTCCCAGGGTCAGACAGAGACACAAAGGAAGGGGTGAGTGTGGAAACGCAGGGCAGAGTGAGACCAACAGGGATGGGGTGCGGGTGGACTCAGGTGCAGGAAGATGACTCAAGGGCAAGGTGCCAGGAGATGACAGGAGGGGCTCAGTTGGAAGCAGGGTGTTAGGGGGCATGGCTGGTGGATTTGGGGAGCAGGTCACTGGGGAAGGATGTTGAGTTTCTTTTTGTTAACCCTCACCTGAGGATATTTTTCCATTGATTTTTAGAGAGAGAGGAAGGGAAAAGGGGAGCGGGAGAGACAGAGAGAGAAACATCGACGTGAGAAAGACATACCAACTGCTTGCCTCCCGCACACAGGGGATCAAGCTGCAACCCAGGTACCTGCCCTTGACTGAGAATTGAACCCGACACCCCGAACCCGAGCACAGGCTGGCGCTCTAACCACTGGGAAACACCAGCCAGGGCGGAAGGGTGTTGCGTTTTGAGGACAACAGGGTAGGCAGAGGTGGTTAGGGGACAGGGTTGGATGAAGGTGAGTGGAGGAGGGTGCTGAGTGCTAGGAAGTGCTAGCCAGGCCAGGTGCCAGGGCTGGGAAGGGCAGGCTGGGGTTGGATGCTGGGCATTTGGAGGGATGGGTGGAGGAGGACATGGGTAAGAGGAGGCTGGGAAGGGGGCTGGGACAGAGTGTTGGGGGGATCGTTGGGTCAGGTGAACTGGGTCGGGCAGGACTGGGGTAGGGTGTGGGTTGGGGTAGATGGCTGGGCGCTGGAAAGGACACAGTGGGGAAGGGTTAAGGAGGTGACAGATGAGGGAGGGGGGAGTGGGGGTCCCCAGGCTCTGACTCGGGCTATTTTTAATTGGTGTGAAACTGGGTCAGTGGCTGAGGGAGCAAGATGGGGGCCGGGCGGCCCAGCTCCCTTTCTTGGCCTACTTAAGACATGGGGGTGGGGCCCCCCGGCCTCTCCCTCCTCCCAGACTGACACCCCAGTCACTGCCTCGGAGGCAGCTCCCCTGGGGGAGGGACAGGCACAGGCACAGGCACAGTCCACTCCGCTAGCGCCCTGGTCTCACCTCTTCCTCTTGGCAGCATCTGACTCTCCCAGACCCTTTCTGCAGAGCCCGAGTCTGGGCCTTGGGTCCCAAGTCATTGTCCTGTCACGTGGCCTTTCCACCCTCCGGCCGGTCCCCCCTAGACACCCTCTGACTCTTCGTGTTTAGTTTTAAGTCTTACTTCCTCTCTTGGTCTCGCTGTTATTCCAGCCTGAACTCCCTGCTGCCGACCGCTCACCGCTCCCTCCGTCTCCGCCCCCCATCCCTTCTCAGGGACAGTCTCTTAGTTTCAGACTCCGTGGCTTTGGGACCATTTTCTCAGGCTCTCCTCCGGGAAGCTCAGACGCTGAAACCGTCTCTTGGTCTCCTCTCTGGCCAGCCCATGGTTCACGTACGAGACCCTCTCCCCTGGGCCCCCCTGAATATTAGGCTGCAAGTCTGTTCCCCCCCAAAACTGGCTTTCACGGGAAATCTCTCTCTCTGTCGTTGTCTACCTCTGTGCCACTTCTCTGGCCCCAGCAATTGCTATTCGCTTTTCTCTCCCCTCTCTGCTGCTGACCATCCCGTCTCTCTGAACCTCGGGCACCCGCCTCCTGCCCCCCCTCAAAACCTCCCCACCTCCTCCCACGCATCTCCGCCTGTGCCCCCACAGCCCCTCATGCCCGCTCCTCACCTGCCCGGTTGATCTCAATCACTTCCTCCTGAGCCAACGGGCAGGGCTCCCCAGGGGCTGGCAGAGGGGGCAGCCCCATGATCCCGAGCCCACCCGCTCCCCCCCTGAGCAGCCCGGGGTGCGAGTGGGGCCCCGGAGGGTAGGCCCCGGCCATCGTCATCCCCATGGAGGGCGGGGTGATGGGAGGCGGGGGGCTGATACCACCACTGCCATGGTGAGGGGGAGGCAGGGGCGGCAATGGCGGGTCGGGCTTGCAGTAATTGGGTGAGCCGGGCAGCGGGGGCCGGGGGATATGTTTATTCTTCTTCTTGGGCAGCTTCTGCTTGGCCATGGCCAGCGAGTAGTACATGCCAAAGTTGTTGACAATGACGGGCACGGGCATGGCGATGGTGAGCACCCCCGCCAGGGCACACAGCGCCCCGACCAGCATCCCCGACCACGTCTTGGGGTACATGTCTCCGTAGCCCAGGGTTGTCATGGTAACCACGGCCCACCAGAAGCCGATGGGGATGTTCTTGAAGTAGGTGTGGTTGGAGCCCAGGATGTCATCCGGGTCGGCGCCAATGCGCTCCGCGTAGTAGATCATGGTGGCGAAGATGAGCACGCCCAGCGCCAGGAAGATGATGAGCAGCAGGAACTCGTTGGTGCTGGCGCGCAGCGTGTGGCCCAGCACGCGCAGCCCCACGAAGTGCCGCGTGAGCTTGAAGATGCGCAGGATGCGCACGAAGCGGACGACCCGCAGGAAGCCCAGCACGTCCTTGGCGGCCTTGGAGCTGAGGCCCGACAGGCCCACCTCGAGATAGAAGGGCAGGATGGCCACGCAGTCGATGATGTTGAGGCTGCTCTTGAGAAATTCCACCTTGTCCGGGCAGAAGGTGATGCGCATGAGGAACTCGAAGGTGAACCAGACCACGCACACGCCCTCCACGTAGGTCAGGAAGGGCTCCGTCTCCACCTCGATGTTGGTGATGTTCTCCGGGGGCGCCCCAGGGATCGGGGAGGCCTGCGTCACCGTCTTGTTGATGATGTGGATGAAGCCCTCGTGGGTCTCCAGGCAAAAGGTGGTGATGGAGATGAGGATGAAGAAGAGGGAGGCGAAGGCCACATACTGCGGGGCAGGTGGGAGAGAGAAGGCAAAAGGTGACCCGGGCATCTGGTCAGCCAGCCACCTCCATAGGACCCTCCCAGTGGCTCCTTTCCCAGCCCAAATGCTTCCCTCTCCCCACTAACGCGGCAAAAGGGAAGGCAGAAGATGGGGCAGCTGTCCCCCGGCTCGCAGGAGGAGCTGGCCCCAGTAGCCGCAGCACATGAGCAACTTCTGTCCTGGAAACAGCAATTGCTGGCCTCAGGCTGTCGCCTAGACCAGTGGTTGGCAAACCGCGGCCCGCAAGCCACATGCGGCTCTTTGGCCCCTTGAGTGTGGCTCTTCCACAAAATACCACCTGTGGGCGCGCGGGTACAGTGCGATTGAAACTTCATGGCCCATGCACAGAAGTCGGTATTTTGTGGAAGAGCCACACTCAAGGGGCCAAAGAGCCGCATGTGGCTCGCGAGCTGCGGTTTGCCGACCATGGGTCTAAACCACCCCCCCTCCTGCTCCCCATGTCAATCTCTGGCCTCAGGTGGGAGAGGAGAAACTGAGATCACTCACGCTCTGTATCTCAGAGGGTTTGCAGGTGGGCCTGGAGCTGAGGGAAGGGGATGGGGGGAAGGTGGGTGGGGAGGCGGAATCATGAGGCGGCTAACAGTAAAGTCTTGGGTGTGAATCCAGCTTTCCCTCTGCCTGACTTGGGCAAAGCAATTAAGCTTCCCAAACCTCAAGTTTTTCCAGGATTATTGTGAGGATTACATTAGATGAGTAGACAGAAAGCCTAGCCGCAAAAAACAGTGCTTGGCCCAGTGTCTGGAACTCCGTCAGGTCTGAGCTCTTAGGAGGGGATGCGGGCATCAGTTAGCGAGGGGGGCAAGGAGCCAGGGTTTAAGGACCTGGGTGCCAATGTCTGTGCCCCAGAAAAGCGAGAAGGCTGGGTGAGGCCCTGACCCAAGAGGACAGGGCAGGGGCGGAACCACAAAGTGGAGGGAGGTGTTAGGGCCCTGAAGGTGGAAGGAAGTGAAGTGTCAAGTCTGCAAAAGGGGAGGCGGTACCGATGAGGAGAGGTGGGGTTTAAAGCTCCCAAAGGAAGGGAGGGTCAGGGGCCTGGACCTTGGGGAAAGGGCAGGACTAGGGCCAAAGAAAGGTGAGGGGCTGTTCAGAGGTGCAGAGTTGCGAGTGGAGGCGAGCCTGGTCCCTTCCGTGCGGGGGATGACTAGAGCCCTGCCAGACAGTGCTGTGGGATCTGATGAAAGCCCTGCGGAGGGGAGAAGGGGGTGGATGAGGCCCCTGCAGGTGACAGTGGGCTGCATCAAATGCGTAGAGGGGACGGAGGCTAGTCCTCGGCGAGGGAAGGGGATGAGCGTTGGGGCAAAGAGGAGGCTCTAAGCAGACGAGGAAGAGGAGGCGGAAGGACCTGGGGTGCAGAGAAAAGAGGGGGGCCAGGGTCAGGCTGCGGAGACCCTCCGCCCCGCCCCCCTCCGTTTCTCCGCAGTGGTTTAAGAGGCCACAGGCCGCCGCAGAGCGCATGCCTGGCGCTCCCCCGCCCGCCCCGAGCCCGGCGCGGCGCAGGCTGCGGCACCCGCAGTGGGGGCGGGCCGGCCTGGCCGGGGGGCGGGGCGCGGCGGCCAGCACCGCGGACAGCTCCCCCGCCGCAGTGCGCAGCCGCAGCCGCTGGGAGCCGCCTTAACCCCTTCGGCGCCACGACCGAGCCGGCGGTGCGCAGCCGCAGTGCCGCCGCTTCGTCGCGGGAGGCCGCTTCGTCGCGGGAGGCCGCGGGCCCGGAGCTAGATTAACTCCTTCCCTCCCGGGACACAGAAAGGAAGATGGGCCCCGCAGTGCACAGCTGTAGAGGCTGCACAGCGTCGGCACTGGTTTAACCCTCTGCCCCCAGATGGTTCAAAAGCAGAGAGGGCCATGAAGTCCCTGCAAGGAAGGGAGAGATGACGAAGAAGGGAGTGTAGTGTGTGATGGGGGGCGGGGGAAGGGGATAGTAGACACCCTCCACTTCTCATTGGTCTCAGCTCCTACCTCTACCAAGCTATCTACTTGGAGCCTGGAATGGGGCACGCTGTGGCACTCAAAAAATACTTGCAGAGTAAATGAGTGACCCCCTCTCCCCCCATAGCTGTCCCGGACATCTAGCCTCACCTCAGGACCCTTCAATGGGGTAGTAAGAAGGAAGGGCACCCCAGGCCATGGGGGGGAAGGAGCCCTCAGAAGCCCGAGGGGGCATCTAGGGCCATGTCCCTCCTGTACCTCGTCCTCCGCACCTATCCCCACCCAACCCCAAATCTCGCCAACTCAGCGCTTCCTGGGGACCAAACTTTATGCGGTGCCTCCGGGCCCCCCTCCCCCTCGTTCCCTCCCCAGCGTGAATGCGGCACTGCGGCTCCGTGTCCTTCCCAGCTCAGGACGCGGCACGGTGGGGGGAGGGGGCCGAACCGGCTCCTCGGGGTGTCTGGGTCCCCAGGAGGCTAGGAGGGGTCCCTGAAGTCGCTACTCTTTCCCTCTAATTCCCCCCATTTTGAACTGCTCTCCTCTCTTCCAACACGGGGAGGAAGTTAGGACGAGAAAGGGAGAACTAGGGGGAAGGGTAGCTATTTAGCCTAGGAAGTTGGGAATGTTTAAAGTTATGAAAGTTTTGGGGGGAAGTAAAGGGAGCTGGAGGGGGTAAAATCTGGAATTTCAAGGGAGATAAGACTGGAGGGGTGCGCTCTCTGTTCACCTTGGGGATGGGGGAGAAGCTGAGGGCTTTGGACTGAGGGTATCTCACTCAGGGGGGAGACTTGGGAAAGGGGGAGCAAGCAGGGCTGGGGTCAGGAGGAAAGATGCCACGACAGGGAAGAAAGAAGTAGGAACTATTTTGAGAAGAAAGTTTTGGGGCTGATAACTTGAGGGAGGTCCGAGGATTAAGCTTAAATTTCTGCAGCAGCAGCAGAAGTGATTTATCTACTAGGAAAGTGGCTGGGAGGGTGGGGGGCAAGGGGGTTGTCCCAGAGAGAGGGAGTGGGCTGTGCAGTAAATGATGGAAGGGAGAAGCTGGGAGGATCTGGGGGTGAAGAGGAGGCATTCTGGAGGGGATCAGCATATTATTGGGGGGGGGGGTCAGGAGAAACTGAGGGGTAGGGAAGGCTCTGGGGAAGTCTTGAGCTAATTTATGGGAAAGCCCTTGGGATGGGAGTTGGCGTGGAGGATGCAGGAAGGGACTTGAACAGAGGGGTCCCGAAGGTCCCAGGAGTAAAAATGTCCTAAGATTGATTGTTGCCGGGAGGGGGAGGTGTCCTAGCCAGAGCAAGTGGTTTGGAGGTTCAGAGGAGTCCAGGAGGCTCTGAAACTGGGGTGCGGGCGCCTTTTGAGACTTTGAGGGCAGAAGAAGCAGGAGATTTCAAAAATAGCCAGGAGACTCTAACTTGGAGGGAGCCAGGGAGAGGGGCAAAGGGAAAAGGCAGCAGGGAGCTGTTGGGAGAGCCTGAGGAAGTGAAGGCTGGAGAGGAGGCTGGGGGGTAGAGGGGGCAGGAGGGGATCTGCAGGGGGCAAAGGAAGGGAGGCAGTTTTCACAGCGCTTGGAACACTTGGAGGAGTAGCAGAGGATGTCTTCTGAGGGTCTGGAGAAGGTCCAAGAAACTGGGCGCTGGGGAAGGGTCTTCTGAGGGTCTGAGGGTGCCCAAGGAAAGTGAGAAGGAGCTTAGAGGGGTTCCGGTGACCGAGGGCTGGGAAAGGTCTTCTGAAGGTCTGGGGGGGGGGGGGGTCCAGGAAAGGTGGGGGTGAGGCTGTTCAGAGGAGCCCAGGAGGAAGTTCCTAAGGGCCTAGGCAGGGTGACCTAGAGAAGCGGGCTGAGGGTCGGAGGGATCTGGGGGGTTCAGAAGGTTGGAGAAACGTCCCCTGAGCATCTGAGGATGCCGGGACAGGGGGTGTGTTCCAAGGGGTGCGGGAGACCCAGGAGGGGCTGGAGGGCCCGTGGGAGTCTGAGGGTTGGATGGGGCGCCCCTGAGGGCCTGGGAGCGCGTGGGGAGGGGAGAGGGACGGGGGCTCCGACAGCGCTGCTCACCCTGGCTGCCCGCGACGAGTAGGGGTCCTCGAAGAGCGCCCACACGCGAGGTTGCCAGCGGCGCCACCACGTGCCGCCTGCGCCGCCCGCGCCCCCTGGCGGTCCCCCGGCGCCGCCGCCCGCTTCCTGGAAGCAGAGGCGCTTGAGTTCGCCGCCCGCGCCGTCCAGGCCGCCGCCGCCCACGCCCGCCTCGTCGTCCAGGCCCGCGTCGTGGGCGCCCGCGGCGTTGGCAGCATTGGCGCCGCCCGCGGAGTCGGGCGCCTCGAAGGAGTCGAGCGCCTCCTCGGCATCGCGGTGCTGCCGGTAGGTCATCCAGCAGCAGGCCTCCACGTCGGTCTCGTCGATGCCCCAGAAGCCGAGCTCCTCCTCGAACAGCGGCCCGCACACGTCGGACGGGCAGTGCAGCTTGCCGGTGCGGTAGTAGTTGAGCACGTAGGCGAAGACGCCCGGGTGCCGATCGAAGAAGAACTCGTCGGTGCCGGGGTCGTAGTCGAAGCGCGCCGCCGCCTCGGGCTCCGTCAGGCAGGCCAGCCGCGTCCCCGGGAGGGTGCGCAGCGTCGAGCGGTACGTCTCATGGCGCACGCCGCCCACGTTGATCACGATCTTGCCGCTGTCGCCACCGCCGCCGCTGTGCCGCCCCATGGCCGCCGCCGGCAGCCCGGGGCATGGCTCGGCGCGCCGGTCCCCGGGCCCGCGGGATGCCGGGGCGCCCGCCGGGGACGCGGCGGGGCCGGGCTGCGCAGGCAGCTGCTGCTGCTGCTGCAGCGGCGGCGGCGGCAGCGGCGGCGGAGGGGAGTCGGGAGGCTGCGGCGGTTGTGCGGTCTGCTGCTTGCCGGCCCCCTGGCGCCCGCGGAAGGACGAGACGCAGACTGAGCTCAGCATTGGACGGGGGGCGGGGCTGGAGGGGCGGGTCCTTGGTGGGCGGGGACTCAGGGGGACGACAGACGTGATTGGGTGGGGGAAAACTATAAATGAGGGGCGGGGCCTAAATAGAGTAGCAACGAAAGTGATTGGCCTGGAGGGGGATGGGGCGGAGTTGAAGCAGAGAGAGAGAAGGGCTGAGACACTAACCCGGCCCAGCTGAATGGGGCGGGGCGGCAAATGAAACACACCGATTGGGTCTTTCTGAAAACAGGGGCGGGCCGAGGTGCTAAGAAGGCGGAACGCACCGCTAATGTGGGCGGGCTTGGCAGCACCGAGCACGAAGGGGGCGGGGCTAGATATAACTGAAAAAAAGGATGGGGCGGAGCAGAGAAAAGGGACAAGTCCAAGCTATTTAAAGAGGCTGGACTGGCCGTGACAGACGGGGCTAGGGGGCGGGGCCACAATCGGAGAGACCATTCTGATTGGACAGAGCAGGGGGCCCGAACCTAAAGAGTAGATAAGCAGAATCTGGTGGGGAAAGACAGATGGAGACTGTGGGGTTGGGCTCCTAACATTGCTTGGACTGGAAAGGGCGGATCTTAAAAAGAGGCGGGGTCGGGGGGGAAAAATGTAGTAGAAACTTCTTGATTGGTCTGGAGAGTGAGGGTAGGACGGGACTAAACGAAGGCGGGAGCTGGAAATGGAGAGTGGAGAGTACAGTCTCGAGAAATGGCGCTAGGCTGCTGGACTGAAAGGGGACAGGGCAGGGGTTACAGGAACTGAAACCCAGTGAGAAGGGGAGGAGCTGAGCGAGCAGCCCTGCAAACCCGAGAGCGTCTGGCTAGGAATACCCGTCGGGGCCGGGGCTGCAAACTTGGCCTAATTAGATGGGGCTGGACCGGGATAATTAGTGTCAGGACTGAGGAAGGTGGACGGGGTCTAAGAATGGCAGATAACCTCTTGAATGAGCTGAGGGAAGACGAGACTAAGGGAGGAGCGAGGCTTTAAGGGGCTTGAAAGCAACTAGGCTAGTCTGGGGCGAGGCAAGGGTAAGAGAGGGTAAAGAACGGGAGATGGGGGGAAGAACGGGAGATGGGGATGCTAAGGAACCTGTAAAGAGTACAAAGCTGCCCTAGCCAGTTTGGCTCAGTGCAAAGAGCCTTCGGTCTGCAGACTGAAGGGTTCCAGGTTCGATTCTGGTCAAGGGCACATGCCTGGGTTGCAGGCTCAATCCCCAGTGTGGGGTGTGCAGAAGGCAGCTGATCAATGATTCTCTCTCCTTCTCCCTTCCTCTCTGAAATCAATAAAAATATATATTTTTTAAAAAAGAGTACAAAGCTACCAGGCTGCAAGGGGGTGCGAGGACCTGGAACAGGGAGAGAGTCCTAAGGGTCAACAGGGACTTAGAGGGCGGGGCGAAAACTTCCAACTGGTGAGGGAAAGAAGACAAGGTCTAGATACGGGCCGACTGCAGAGAAGAGGCCTAAAGGCTGGATAAGGACTGGTGAAGAAGGAGCCCCGAGGAAGGAAGACGGGAGAAACCCAAGCGCAAGGAAGCACAGTGGCCGAGCAATGGGCGGGGCGAGGTGTGAGTCCTGGTGGGAGGAGAGAGATGGGGAGTGGGCGTGGCTAGTGGAGGGCGGGGCCAGAACTAGGGCTACTGTCCCGGAGCGGGCCAATCGGCTCCCCAGGCGGTCCTAGCGGGGGGCGGGTGGCAGGGCGCAGGCGCAGGGCTGGGGCGGGGCCAGCGGCTGCGGCGGGGCTGCGGCGCGAGGAGGCGGTGCCTGTGGGAGCGGAGGGGGCGGGTCAGGGGCTGCGGGGTTCCTCCCGCTGCTGGGTCCCTGGCCTGCCGCCTCCTTCTGCAGGTGCGGCGGCTGGTTCGTATCGCCCCCACCCCCTCCCCCGCCACCTACCCCCGCTCCCGTTTCTGCGTGTCTTTTGAGCCCCTTTCTTTAAATATTTGCCTCCCGTCTCTGCACTCCTACTTCTTTTTTTTTTTTTTTTTTGCACTCACACTTCTAAGTCTCCCTCCCTCTGGGTTGCTGCCCCATTGCTTTTTGAATGTGTCCCCCTCCTTCTGAGTCTTTGCCCCTCTTCTAAGCCTCAGTGTCCTCTCCCGCCGCCGTGTCTCGGTATTCCCAACCCCGGTCTCTTTCTCTTGGTCTTTATACCTTTTCCTCCGGGACTTGCCTTTCTCTCTGGGCCCCTGTCCCGCCCCCCCCCCCCCCCCTCCCGGGCCTCTGTCCCTCCTCTGTGTTTCTCTGTCCTACACTGCCCCCCACCCCAGGCTTTCTTCTCCCACTCTCTGGATCTCTGCCCATTCATCTGGGTCTGTCCCCATCACCCTTGCTATCTGGCCTCCCTCCCCGTGTCTTTTCCCCCTCCTCTGTCTCCGCACTCCCCCACTGCCTTTTCTCTTTCCGCCCTTTCTCTTCCTGGCTGTCCCCATCCACTGGTCTCTATTGCCCCCCTCCCAGGTCTTTTCACCACCACCACCCCCCCCCCCCAGTCTCTGTCCCCCTCTCTTTGCCCGCATTTCTTTGGGACTCAGTCCCGCTGTCCTTCAGTCTCTGCCCCTGTCTCTGGACCTCTGGGCATTTCTTTCAGGCTCCCCCACCCCCACCCCATCACCCCCTCTAACCCCCATCCTGGCCAGGACACCGGGCTGAGTCACTGCAGGGAGTTGCAGAAGTGGGGCTTGTCCTGCAGACCAGAGAGGTAGTTCCCCTCACCACGCAGACCCTGGGCTCCCCACTGCCCCTGATTCCATACCCTTGAGTCTTGAAGACCCCGCCAGGACCCAGGAGGGCAGAGAAAAGACACCATCGGGGCTTCCGACTCCTCTCTGCCCCGAATTCTGGTGTATCCCCGGGCAAAAGCAGTGAATCCTGACGTGAGGGATTGGGCTTGAGTTGAATGAGGCTCTGGGCGAGTCAGGGGGTTTGGTAGGCACTAGGAGCTGGGGGTAGGGGCCAGTGTAAGGACCTTAGTCAGCTATCCACCCTTATCCTTCCCTTCTCCCCCCACCCCCCAATGCTACTTTTATTTTCTGCTTTTGACAGCAGCTAGGCAGGGGATCAAGTTACCAAATCAGCGTTTTTTGCAAAGGTCAGGTGTGTGAGAAGGTGCGGGCTGGGGTGGGGGTGGGGGGCTGGAGAGGGGAGAGTATGGCAGGAGACCCTGGAATAGAGACCATGAGAGGCGGGAGGCGGCCTGGGCCAGGAGTAACCGGGTGGTCCAGGCTCCATCAGGCTCTGGGAAATTGGATGCCGTCACTCCCTCATGGCTGTCCGCAGGCCCCACCGGAGTATGTGGGGGATTTGTGAGCTCGGATTCTCCACCCACGCAGGGCCGGAGTGAGTGGGAGACTTCTGGAGGTATAATGAGGGCTCGGTTAGGAGATCAGTGCAAGTGGACTTGATTTTTGGCCCCTGGCATCAGGTTGGGGCAGGCCCATGTTTGTCCGCGTCTTTAGATCGTTTCCCATCCCCTTCTCCTTCCCAAACCATCCTTTCCCAGGTCCTCAAGGCACAAAATTCCGGAACGCTCCCAACTCCCACCTGTCATCCTCTGCGTCCCTTCCTAACTCTCCCTTCCCCGTTCCCCAAAGCCCTGGAATTGGGGGACTTCTAGGATATTGTTCCTTCTCCCCATTCCTGTCGGTTCGAAATCCAGGAAGGAAGGTCTCCCGGATACTAAGCTGAAAATGTGGGGACTCTGCCCACGATCCTTGGTCCCCGAGACCCTCCAAATACCTTGCCCCCGCCCCCCCCAAAAATAGATCGCTACTGAGGGGGAATCTCTCCGCTGTAATTTCTGAGTCCCCGTCTCCCGAGTCCCCCGCTTCCACAACTAGGATTTGGACTGTCTCACCGCCCCTGTTTCCTGAGCCTTCTACCCGTCTCGGTACTCACCCCAAGTCGAGGCGGGGCGGGGATGGGGGAATCCGGGGCTGGCGATGGGGGAGGGGTGACCCAGCTCTGGGCAGCAAAAGGCTGCGTAGGGGGAGTGACATCATCGCCGGAGGAGGGGCAGCACAGCGCCCCCAACCCAGGGGCTTCATGTCCCGCCTTTATGGGGTCCGAGAACCCAAGAGGGGAAGAGGAGGAACAGGAGATGAAGTCTGCGGGAACGATATCCCCTCCCCTTAGAATAAGAATCGGGAAACTCTTTACGATCTCATCCGACCCCCATTGCCACCTGTCGCTGCCGCCGCGACCTGTCGCCTCCCACGCATGTTGTGTCTGCGCCCGCCCCCAAGGCCGTGAACACCGCCCGAACTACAACGTCCGTGATGCTCCGCGATGCCGGGAGCCTTTGACGAGAGGCAGTGTAGGCGCAGGGCTTCATGGGACTCGTAGTATAAGACACCCGCACCAGTGCGAGCCCTGAAGAAGAGCGATACCTTTATCCTTCCTTTCCTCGACTACAGAGAGCCAGACACTAGTTTTTCTCCCCCAAAATTACGCACTTAAATAAAAGCTACTCGGGTAGGTTCAATGGAAATAGCAAATTTTTTATTGAGTAGCGGGACCTCGGCTGTCACCCAGTGCGCATGCGTCTAACCGGGGCGTCGTCGGGAGAACTGCGCCTGCGTGAACCCACTGCCGAGCGGTCCGGCGCGGCGAGGGCGAGCGCGCGCCAGCCCGACTCGGGCGCCTTTCTTCACGTCCCCGCGGTCGAAGACCGCCACGTAGCTGCGCAGGAAGACATCGCCGAGGATCCAGAGGGGCCCGCTCGGCGGGGGCACGTCCAGGGCCTGGAAGCCTAGCAGGCAGACGCGGGCGCCACCCCGAGCGATCTGCAAGGTGACACGCCGGGCCACTGGGCGTCACGCCCACCGAGCCTGCTGCTGCCCTGGGAGCCAGAGCTCCGCCCCGCCCGCTACCCCGGGGCTCGGTCCAGGTCCCTCTGGCCCCTACTCAGTCCTTGTGAGTGTGAGGTCTCACTCCCAGCTCCACCCTCTGAGACACCCCCCCCGCCCCCCACTTACCGCGTCCCCCTGACGTCGTTCTGACCGCTGCCTACCTGGA